TGCTTGGTAAGATGGAGGGTCGGAGGAAAAGAGGAAGACCCCTAATGAGATGGATCGGCCAGGTGGCATCATTGATGGACTCAAGTGTGGCAGTGGTAGTGAGGTTGGCCCAGGATCAGACATTGTTTCCTTCTGCTGTGCATGGGGTCTCTATGAGTCGGTTCTGACTCGATGGCACCTGACAACAACAACAATGGGCAAAAGGATTCTATGGGACTCCTGGTGTGGTGGTGTGGGTTAATGTGCTGGATTGCAAAGTTGGTTTGAACCTCAAGGTCGGCGGTTCAAGCTCACCAGCTGCTCCTTGGAAACCCTATACAGGGACACTATGGGTCACAACTGACTCAATGGCACTTAAGAATAACAGGAAATGGGCAAAATATTAAATGATGCAGGAAGCATCAAAGGAAGCCGAATAGAATATGGAGTCACTATATCATGAAGAATTGATCATTTTTCAGCCATTTCAAGAGGTAGCATATGATCAAGAACAGAGGGTACTGAAGGAAGAAGTCCAAAAGCTTCATTGAAGGCAAAAAACAAGGCTCTAGGAATTGACAGAATTCAAACTGAAATGTTTCAACAAACTGATGCAGTGTTGCCGGCACTCATCGTCTGTGCCAAGAAATTTGGGAGACAGTTACTTGGCCAACCAACTGGAAGAGATTCATATTTGTGCCCATTACAAAGTAGAAAAGGCAAAATGTAATCTTGGCATCAAGGCAATGTTATAGACTTGAAACCAGCAGCCCTTGCCATCTCCTGAAAGGACAGAGAATCTGAAATTGTACAACTGCACACTGAGACTGCAGTCTAGGTCTTCCTCGTTCTAACTCAATAGGACACTAATTCAGCTCATTTTTTATTTGAAAAGCTTAATAATTATATTGATAACATTAGAGTTATTCTGTAGTTTAATTGCCTTTTCTTGTAACACAACACAATTCTGATATTTACTACCAAGACTTGCTTTTGCTTGAAGCAATGCAAGGTCACATTAAGTGTAGGCCCTAGGGTTCTTTCCATGAACTTAAGGTGTAGTTGTGACCAGGACTTGTCTGGAGTTTGAGCATCTGCCCCACGGCTGGACAGCCTTCCCATGAAAGCCCAACTTCATGGCACATAACAACATTTAATTCCCTGATTCATTATCAAGTTTAAATCCAGTCATCCCTGAGTGTCTGAGGGATACCCTACCACTTACCAGCCCCTATTATCCCCCCATACCCAAATCCATGAATGTTCAAGGCCTTTTTATAAGAGGGTGTAGTATTTGCATATAACTTACACACATCCTTCCATATACTTTAAATCATTTCTAGCCTCCTTAAGGGACTCCTGGTGTGGCAATGTGTGGTAAGCACTGGACTATGAACCAGAAGGTCAGCAGTTCAAACCCATCAGCTGCTCATTAGAAACCCTATACAGTGTCACTATGAGTTGGAATCAACTTTAGACCAGCCTATGGAGTCCTGGTGTGGTGTGTGCACGAGACTGCAAAGTCGGTTTGAACCGCAGTCATAAAGTTGGCAGTTGAAGCTCATTGCTTCTTCTCAGAAACCCTGTGCAGGGTTGCTATGGGTTGGAACTGACTTGAAGGCGCTTAACAACAGCAACACCATGGAGTCCTGGTATAGCACTGTGGGATAAAGCGCTGGACTGCAAGATCAGTTTGAACCACAAGATCAGTGGTTCAAACTTACCAGCTGTTCCTTGGAAACCCTATACAAGGTTGCTATGAGTCGAAACCGACTCAACTGCATTTAACAAGCCTCCTTTACCAACGGGTAACCCAGCATTATTTTAGAAAACACGTTTTGTTACCTCGTGTTGTTTGCTCCAGTGGCCAGGCTTACCTTCTGCATCTAGGTGATTTGGTTTCCTTCCACCCAGCCCTTGGGTGTGAAACTTCTCCTTTTCATAACCTTCCCTTGAGGGCTGACTCACAGACTCCAATGTCTGATCCTGGGCTGTTTGGTGAGTTGAGAGCTGGTGGTTTTTCAGAATGAGCTAATGTTAACGCCAACCTCAAAGGCAGCCTCAGACAGGGAAGTCAGGAAACAAAGGATTTCAAAAGCTGCCTGGCAAGATAAAGAGCTAGGCTTTAAAATCCTGTTTTGTATTTTGTTTTCAATGAAATGGAAGTCCCTTCCCTAAGACACTCTCAATTTAGTTCAGCGAATTTAATTCAACCAACATTTCTTTGAAGGGTCAAGGCATCAGTAGAGACTGCTCTAAAGAGAAATCCATGTTCACAAGCACAGTACCATCTTATTCTCCTCTAACTGTATACCACTGTCTGCCCTGTCAATCAGACACATGTCTAGTGTGCTTCAAGAACTTCGTGGAACTTTAGGACATGGACAATTTACATAACAAATTTTAAAGGAATTCCCTTGTGCTATCAGTGAATCCACTAGTTCTGGATTTTAATTGTGGCTTTTCTACTTCATTGCTGTGTGACCTTGGAGAATTTATTTAACCTCTCTGAACCTCACTTTCTCATGTATATAGTGGAAATCCCTTTCCTAGTATTCACCAGCCCCAGTGTTGTTGTTGTTATGTGTCGTGGAGTCAGTTCCGACTCATAGCGACCCTGTACAGGGTTTCCGAGGCTGTAAATCTTTACGGGAACAGAAAACCTCATCTTTCTCCCACGGAACAGCTGATAGCTTTGAACTGCTGACCTTGCGGTTCACAGCCTGATTCGTAACCACTATGCTACCAGAGCTCCTTACAGACACTGCCCACCTGTCTTTGCCTGCCAGCTCTAGAGTGGATTCCGTGGATCTGCCTCTCCTGTTTGCCATCTATCAGCTATTCTAGCTCTTAAGACCTTCCTCAAGACTTTGTCTCTGGACTGTGACCTATTGTGTTTTGTTTCCTTCCCTTGTTTAGAGGCAATCTTTTTTTAAAGAAATGTTAAGGCTTCTAAGGAGCTCTTGGTTTTGAGAACCAAGATAATGTAGACCACAGCCAGCAGTGTCGTAGCTAAGAACACTTTGGCAAGGTGAAGACAGCCACTGCCTTCTTCTGTGGTCTCAACACGGGTTTCCTTGGATTTAAACATACTGAAGATCAGGAAGGGTCTGAAGTGAATGTGCATACTTCCTATGTCAGCTAATGAAAACACTGTAACTCATTTCCCTCTGACCTGCTTAGTTGTTGCAGTTAAGTGCCTTAGGGACCCTGTATAGGGTTTTGTCCGTAGCTACTGAAAATCGGTTCCTACCAGATTCCTGATACCACTTTTTTTTCTCTGTATTTAAGTAGTCTGGTACCACCTTTGCCCCTGAATTTCTTATTTTGAACAACATTCTTAGTATTTTACAGTTGTTTTGATTGTTATTAGTTGTAATTATTGTGAGTTGGCCCCTGACTCTTGGTGACCCGATGCACTGACGCTTTTCTTTTAGTTTATTTGTTTGTTTATTTGATTACAGGCCATCAGACCTTTCTTCCTAATTTGTCTTAGTCTGGAACTTCCGCTGAAACCATATGTTCAACACCATAAGTGTGGTCAGCCTGTTCCGACTCATAACCACCTGGTATTAAACAGAATGAAGCCATCCTATACATTCCCCACAGTTGGTGCCATGTCTGATCATTGTTGCAGCCTCTGTGTCAGAGCAACATGCAGACCTCCTTGAGGTGAACTGAGCCTGAGTCTCTGTCATTTGTTGTTGTTAAGTGCCATCGACTAGGTCCTGACTCCTAGAGACCCTGTATAGGGTTTCCGAGGAACAGCTGGTGGGTTTGAACTGTCAACCTTGTAGTTCACAGTACAGTGCTGATCCTACAGTGCCCCACAAGGAGTCTATCATGGAAGGTGAGATTTCTACCACAGAACCCCCAATGAGTGCCCTTGCTGAAAAATCCAGTTGGGTTTTCATGGGGTCATCTCTAACTCATGATGACCCCATGGCATCAGAGTAAAACTCTGCTCCACAGGATTTTCTTGGGCTGATTCTGGGGAAGTAGATCATCCAGCCTTTCTCCTGAGATACCTCTTGGTGGATTCAGACCTCAATCCCTTCAGTTAGTGCATTAACTGTTGGCACTTCCAGGGTCCTTATGGGATGTGTTATTGTTAAGTGTCTTCAAGTTGGTTCTAACTCATAGTGACCCTGTATAAGGTTTCTGAGGAGTGGTTGATGAGGTTAAACTGCTGACCTTGTGGTTCAAACCGACCTTAGGGTCCAGTTCTGCACCCCACAACCACAATGACACACCAGGACTCCATATGGGGTGTTTTGATTGATTGATTATGTGCTGTGGTGTCAATCCCGACTAATAGTGACCCTGTATAGAGTTTCCGAGGCTGTAAATCTTCATGGGAACAGAACACCTCATCTTTCTCCTGCAGAATGGCTGGTAGTTTCTAACTACTGACCTTGAGGTTAGTAGCTCAATTCGGAATCACTACACTACCAGAGCTCCTAGAAAAGTACTTGTTGTTGTTGTGAAGTGCCGTCGAGTTGGTTCCCACCCATAGCGACCCTGTACAGAGTTTCCAAGGAGCAGCTGGTAAGCTTGAACTGCCGACCTTGCAGTTCAATTGGCTTTGCAGTCTGGCGCATTAGCCCACAGCGCCACACCAGGACTCCGAGTGATATATCCTCAGTAAAACACCCTCCTCCTCCAATCATGCATATGCCAGAGGCGGAGGATGAAATGCTCAATATAGAAAAGTACTTAAGATCGCCTATATTGAGCATTTCATTCTCCACCTCTGGCATATGCATAATTGGAGGAGGGGGGTGTTTTACTGAGGATATATTCCCATATTGCAAACATGATTCTCTTCAGCTTTAAAAAAAAAAAGATGCTGAACAACTTGGTGATTCTGAGATGTAATTCTGAAAGTGTACATTGCTGTTTCTACTTTTTTCTACCTCCTCACCCCCTACCCCCAATTTTCTTGTAAGAAGAATTCTAGGGTTTCTTACTCTGCCTCTGTTTATACATCAGTCCTCTTTTTTTTTGCTCTTTCACTATAGTATGAAATGTCTACCAGCTGTGACAGACAAAGAGCCCCAGAAGTTAATTTCAAAGAATTGGGAGAAACAAAAAGGAAGCCTGAACTGCGAAGTGGTCACATCCCCTCGGGCCACATTCCTAAGCCCATCGTGATGCCTGACTATGTGGCGTGAGTATTTAGTTCTTGTATTTAGTTCTTCAGAGCGTGGGTGTTGAGAACTTAAAGGCCTTCGCTTTCCTTTTTGCCTCCAAGTTAGCAAGCACTCTGCTTAAAATACTTCATACTTGAACTGTTGTTTGTTATCAAAAAGATTAAGTTCCAATTCATAATGATCCTATAGGGTTTCTGAGGAGCAGCTTGTGGGTTGAACAGCAGACCTTGTGGTTCACAGTTCAGAGCTTCTCTTACAGAGCCACACCAGGACTCCATAGTATGTTAAATTAAAAGTAAATATAGTTAATCAGAATATGGTAAACTGGTTTTCTTTCTTTCTGTTTCTTTTTTTTTTTTTTTTTTTTTTTTTTTTTTTTGCTAAGCTTGTTTTAGTGAAAAAAAATTGTAACTTCTCACTTCAAAAATTTTTTTGTGTCTCAGAAAATACCCAGTGATTCAGACGGATGATGAACGAGAACGCTATAAAGCTGTATTCCAAGACCAGTTTTCAGAGTACAAGGAGCTCTCTGCAGAAGTGCAGGCCATCCTGAGGAAGTTTGAGGAGCTGGATGCAGTGATGAGCAGATTGCCCTATCATTCGGAAAACCAGGAGGTCAGTGCCTACAGCTGGCTGGAGGGATGCAGGTGCTTAGAGGAAGGAGGACCAAACCTGACTCGTTTTTAAATGTAAAGAATCCACAGTTGTTTCCATTCACTGTCTGTGTCTAAGAATGCCATATGGTATCTTCAAGTTATAATTTAAAGATTATAATTTAAAATGCATAATGTCTTTTTCTTTCAATTGTTAAGCAGTATCTTATTTTTTTGTTTATATAAACATAAATTTGCCTAAGTTATCTACTGAGTTGATCAGCGTCCCAGCAGAAGACAGGTGAGACACTCAAATGAGATAATTAGAGGAGGGTGTCTCACAAAAGGCTGGGCTTGGGACAGCCACTAGAGGTGTGCTGACTCGGTGGGGGTGAGTGGGGGCAACAGCCAAGCAGTTAGCACCACCCCAGGCCCAAAGGGCAAAAAGAGAGCAGAGTGGGGCAGGGAGATTGTGGATCTGAAACTGCATGCAGGGGCCACTGGGCACACAGGCTAGACTGCTAACCATGGTTGGATATGGCGAGGAAAGCCACTGTGGAGATCTGGTCATGAGGAACCTAAACATTTTCTATAATGCTCTCTTCTCTTTTAAGAGCATATGTTATTTTAATCAATTATGCATAATTAAACATTTGCAATCCATGAAGCATTTTGCATAAATTTCAAACAGATTTATATTTGTGTGTGCGTATATATGAGGGTACTTCAGAAAGGTTGTGGAAAAATGGAATTGAAAGATAATGGATTTTCTTCCGTGAATGTTTTGAAGCTCCTTTGTGTATTTTTGTTCCATACCATTGAGTCGCTTCATCTCCTAGCAACCCTGTGTATAACAGAAGGACACACTGCCCAGTCCTGCATTATCCTCACAATTGTTATGTCGAGTCCATCGTAGCAGCCTCTGTGTCCATCTCATTGAGGGTCTTCCTCTTTTTCACTGACCCTTCACTTTACCAAGTATCATATCCTTCTCCAAGGACTGGTTCCCCTGGTAACATGTCCAAGGTACAGGAGACTAATTTATTATGCAGTATATTCAGTATTTTCTGCCAACAGCATAATTCAAATGCATCAATTCTTTAGTCTTCCTTGTTTATTGTCAAGCTTTCACATGTATAGGAGAATACATCTTGGGTCAAATACATCTTAGTCCTCAGAGTGACATCGTGGCTTTTTAACACTTTGAAGAGGTCTTTTGCAGCAGATTTGCCCAATACAGTATGTTATTTATTTATTTATGTTATTTTATTTGATGGCTTGACGGTTACGTCTATGGATGTTGATTGTGGATCCAACTAAAATGAAATCCTTGAAAAATTCAATATTTTCTGTTTATCCATAATGTTGTTTATTGGTCCAGTTGTGAGGGATTTTGCTTTATGTTGAGGTGTAATCCATACTAACAGGAGAAAGATGAGGCTTTCTGCTCTCTCAAAGCCTTGGAAACCTTATACAGGTTCACTGTGCATTGGAACTGACTCAACAACAGTCCATACTGAAGATTGTAATCTTTGATCTTCTTCAGTAATTGCTGCAAGTCCTCTTTGCTTTCAACAAGCAAGTTTGGGCCATCTGCATATCACAGGTTTTTAATGAATCTTCCTCCAGTCCTGATGTTGTGTTCTTCTTCATACAATCCAGCTCCTTAGATTATTTGCTCAGCATACAGAGATTATTTGCTCAGCATATAGGTTGAATAAGTATTGTAAAATGATACAACCCTAACATACATCTTTTCTGACTTAAAACCAGGCAGTATTCTCGTGCTCTCTTCAGGCATTTGCCTTTTTGGTCTATATACAGATTCCACATGAGCACAGTTGAGTGTCTTACATTGCCATTCTTCACAATGTTATCCATAATTTGCTATGATCCACACAGTTGAATGCCTTTGCATAGTCAATGAAATACAAGTATTATGGTATTCTCTACTTTCTGCCAAGATATATATGTATTATCTCCCAAGAATTCATATTAGTTGGCTGTCTCTGTTCTATAGCATTTTAATTTAATTTTTTGGATTTAACAAGCAAATGTTAAATCCAAATTTGGATTCTCACAATTTGGAAGTCTAAATTCAGAGCACCAACTCTGAAGAAAGATCCTTGTTTCCTTTCAGCATATGTAGGCCTAGCATGTGTCTTGACATCCGCCTTTTCCTTGATCCAGGAGCTTCAGGGTCCAAAGGATGCATTCTCCTCCTGGCTCTTCTTTCTTGGTGGCAGTCAGTCCCTCTTTGTGCAGAATTTTAAATATACATTTAAATTATTATAGTCATAAACTGTCTAAGCCAACTTTGCACATTAGTAACATATTCTCAGTGCTGACACTATGCAATGGTGTTGGCTGAGAGATGCCAATACCAAGAAGTGAGAGAAATCTTGCAAATGCTGAAGGTTGAGAATCACTTTTTACCATTTTGAAAACAAGCCAAGATTCACATCTCCAAGAAAGGTGATCCAGTTTAGAAGTCCTTAGAGCAGTGCAGGAAGAAATGGGCAGGCCCAGGCCTGGCGGGAGGGACGGGGGGAAGCAAGCTGGTTGAAAGAGATGGTGCTGGAAAACCTGGCTGTGACCTGCAGGCCTGGTACCTGGTCTAGTGGCCTCTGGCTTGTACGCTTTGTGAATGGGCAGAGGCCCAGGCATGTTGTTGTTATGTGCTGTCAAGTTGATTTCAAGCATATTGTTGTGTTATATGCTAACAGGTTGATTCCCACTCAGAGCGACCCTGTGTAGGGTTTTCAAGAGCAACTGATGGGTTTGAACTACAGACTTTTTGATTACCAATCCTCAGGCCTAGGCACATGGGTCTGCATTTGGGGCAGCAGCTGTCTTGATTACCATAATAGCTGAGAGATTGGGTCTTCCATGATGTTTGTACACAAGATCACCAAGAGACACTTCCTCTAGTTCTTAACATGACATGGCAAGTAGTAGGCAAAGCGAAAGGCCCACAGTTACTGTTGGTGTCTCCTCCAGTCCTTATCTGAAGTAGAAATATTCACTGTTTCACAAAAATTAACTTCTCACTGGCCACAGGCTGAGCTTTCTCATGGATAGCAATCAGTTGGCAAGGTTGGCTCAAGGAGCTTGTGGTGTTATCAGAAAGAGCTCAGTGGACCTGTTTGGAGGCTCAGGTTGTCCACAAACCTTAGGTGTCTGCCTTTTAAAAATAAAACAATCACATGACTTTTAAGAAGCCTATAAAATGGGAGCATTGTCTAAAATAACCCCTCTGGTTCTTACCACCTGTCTGTCTGATGATCTCTAAAACAGACTTTATCGCTCTTGTGTCCGGTCTGTTTCTCAAGCACAGCACCGTCAATCTTAGGCAGTTAGCTTCTTCCCCATCCAGGATGTGCAATAGAGACCACTGTGGAGCTATCATTCACCTTCATTGCTGAAAACATTGTTCATGATCTTAGTGTTTAAAAGACAATGAAGAATTAAAATCTATCTGAAAGAGAAAGTCAGTAAATGTCACCGAATATTCTCAGGGGAAGATTTTTAAGACTGTAGATTATGAGTTTCATTTTTTATTTTTTAGGTTTGCAGTATCTGACACTCTTTAGGCATAAGTTTGCCTGAATAAATAACAACATTGCTCTAGTAATCTGTTCTTTTGGATAGACTGCTCAGCTCCTTAAA